TCTATGGCTCTATGATGTTCATGCCACACAAGAGCTAGGCAATTACCATCTCCAACAACAGAGAACCTAACCACCACGCCTTGACATTCAATGAAGGCTTCAAGGAATTTGAATTCATATCGAAGGAGAGTAGAGTGGGTCCAAGGTTAGTATTTTAAACCTTAATGAAGGCGATTATAAGGATGTGAAACCAAATTAGCTAAAGTGAACTGGCTAATAGGTCAAAGGAAAGGTAGTTTGGATGCAGAGGTGGACCTTTAAGGAAATACTTCAGAAAATACAGAACAAAAACATTCAAATAAGAAGGAAGCAAATCCGTGGAGAGGATCTACCATCTGTCATTAACTAAAAATGTTAAAGATAGTATCAAACTTCAGGAAAGTATACAATTTCACAATGATAGATTTCAGGTCAGAAAATATAACAGAATATAAAAGACAAAGAATAAACTAAAGCTTAATAAGAAAAAAAAATGAAAGTATGAAAGAAAGCTAGCTGGAAATAAAGAGACAGGAGAAGTTTCTATTGATAATTTATAAGAAGGGACTATTGATATGGCAGAAGCTGAGTCTTGGGAAATAATATTGGAAAATAAAGGAGATGGCAAATGAATTATGTGGGTATTTTGTATCAGGTTCACTATAGAGGACATAAGTAACAGCCCAGAAAGAAAAGTTCTCAATAAAGAGGTGAAAGAAAGGAAGGAACCCAGGAAACTGACAAACTTGAGAAGTGCTAAAAAACGACACACTTCTTAAAGCTTTTCAACCAGTCTTCATCAGGACAACTTGCAAGTAATATCAAAGTAAAGGAAAATAACATTTATAAGAGAAATATGATTATTGGTTGGCAAGTTGAATCTGATCAATAGAGGTGCTCCAGGTAGAAAGCATCAGCTAATGATGACTGATAGTTAATTCTTAAGGCTAATTTAAATTCTAAGGTGGCAGATTGACTTCGATGGTCGAGGTTTTGCGTGATGAATTAACAAAAGAATGGCTGTCGCTTATTTTGTTGTGCTGAAATGGGCGCAGTGTATGTATGTGTTCTTTCTGTTTGCAAAGACAAGGTGTGCTTTTTAATATAATTATATTTCAGTACATGCAAATGTATTATGCTGTGAACTTAATGACAATTCTAAATTTGTTGTCAACATAATTCTATGCACGCTTATGATAATGTAGAAAATATCCATTTTTTAAAATTCACTCATGGGACATGGGTTTTAATGGATGGGCCAGCATTTGTTGTAAAATCAAATCTAATGTTGCAACATGTTATGCGTTTTGCAAGCACAGATTGGTTGGGTACTATTGGTAACTTGCTTATCACAAATCATAAAAAGGAGGTGCTGTTTGATACGATCCACTGGTCCTTGGGATGGCTGGTCCCCAGAACTAGTATCTCACAGACACTGAGATTTCTGTATCATATTAGAAGGTATTGAAAGCTACGATTAAGGATATTATACTCTGACACTTAGAAAAATTCAAATGACATCAGGCAGAGTCAACATGGCTTTAAGAAAGGAAAATCATTAACAAATTTTTAGAGTCATAGTGTCATAGAGTAATACAACATGGAAACAGGTCCTTTGGCCCTAACTGGTCCATGCTGACCATGGTGCCCACTCAGCTGGTTCCAATTACCTGCATTTGGTATATATCCCTCTAAACCCTTCCCATCCATGTACCTATCCAAATGTTTTCTAAATGTTGCTATTGTACCTGCCTCAACCACTTTCTCTGGCAGCCCATTCCATACAAACACCACTCTCTGTGTGAAGAAGTTATCCCTCAGGTCCCTCTTAAATATTTCCCCTCTCACCTTAAACCCATGCCCTCTAGTTTTCAATTCCCAAGCACTGGGGAAAAGCCCATATGCATTCAACCTGTCTATGCCCCTCATGATTTTATATACCTCAATAAGGTCACTCATCATTCTACTACATTTCAAGGAATAAAGTCCTATCCTGGCCAATGTCTTCCTATAACTCAGGCCTACTAGTCCTGGCAACATCCTTGTAAATCTTCTTTGCACGTTTTCCAGTTTAAATATGTCTTTCCTATAACAGGGTGACCATAACTGTACACAATACTCCAAGTGCAGCCTCACCAATGACTGAGACAACTGTAACATAATGTCCCAACTCCTGTACTCAATGATTCGAACAATGAAGGCCAGCATGCTCAATGCCTTCTTCACCAACCTGTCCACCTGTGATACTGCTTTCCATGAACTATGTACTTGTACTCCTAGGTCCTTCTGCTCCACAATGCATCTCAGGACCTTATCATTTACTATATAAGTCCTATCTTGGTTTGACTTTCCAAAGAGCAACACTCACACTTATCTGTATTGAATTGCACCTCCCAATCCTCAGCCCACTTCCCCATCTGATCAAGATCCCTCTGTAATTTTTGCTAACCTTCATCGTTATCAGAAATACCTCCTAATTTTGTATCGTCTGCAAACTTCCTAATCATGCCTTGTACATTCACATCCAAATCATTCATGTAAATAGCAACTAACAAAGGTCCCAGCATGGACCCCTGTGGCACACCAATATTCACAAGCCTCCAATCCAAGAAACAATCTTCAACTATAACCCTCTGCTTCCTACATCGAACCAATTTTGAATCCAATTAGCTAGCTCTCACTGGATCCAATGTGACCTAACTATCATGACTAGCCTGCCATGCGGGACCTTCTCAAACGCCTTACTAAAGTCCAAATACACAACATCCATTTCCCTACCCTCATCCATCCTCTTGGTTACCTTGGTTACCATGCTCCATCAGCTCAAATCTATTGGACTTTGTTGAGGAAATTAAGAATTTTTTAAATCCATTCATTCGACATAGACATTGCTGGCTTGCCAGCATTTTATTGCCAGTCCCTAATTGCCCTTGAGAAGTTGATGGTGAGCTGCTACCTTGAACACTGCGGGCCACATGCTGTGGATTGGCCTACAATGCCCTTAGGGACTTTGACCCTGTGACAGTGAAGGAACAGTAACATATTTCTAAGTCAGGATGGTGAGTAACTTGGAGGGGAACTTGCAGGTAGCGGTATTCCCATGTATCAGCAGCACTTGTCCTTCTAGATGGAAAGGGTCGTGGGTTTGGAAGGTGCTGTCTAAGAATCTTTGGAGTGGATGCTTATGGATGTTGTGCCAATCAAGCGGGCTGCTTTGTCCTGGAATGATGTCAAGCTTCTTGAGTATTGTTGGAGCTGCACCCATCCAGGCAAGTGGAGAGTATTCCATCACACCCCTGGCTTGTGCCCTGTAGATGCTGGACAGGCTTTGGGGAGTCAGGTGGTGAGTTACTCGCCATAGGCCTAGCCTCAGGCCTGCTTGTCCAGTTGAGCATCTGGTCAATAGTAACACCCAGGATGTTGATAGTGGGGGGATTCAGCAATGGCAACACCATTGAATATCAAGTGGTGGTGATTAGATTGTCTCTTATTGGTGATGGTCATTGCCTGGCCTGAATGTTACTTGTCACCTGTCAGCCCAAGCCTGGATATTGTCTAGATCTTAATGCTTTTGAAAATAGGCTGCTTCAGTATCTGCGGAGTCGCAAATGGTGTTGATTATTATCATTATCAGCAACATCCCCACTTCTGACCTTATGATGGAGGGAAGGTCATTAATGAAGCAGCTGAAGATGGTTGGGCCTAGGACACTACCCTGAGGAAACTCTGAAGATGTGTCCTGGAGCTGAGATGTCTGATCTCCAACAACTGCAACCATCTTCCTATGTGCCTGGCATGACTCCAACCAGTTGAGAGTTTGCACCGCAACCCACTCCACCCCACTGTCCCACCTCACCCTGATTCCCACTGATTTCAGTTTTGGTAGGGCTCTTTGATGCCACATTCAGTCGAATGCAGCATTCATGTCATGGGCTGTCACTCTCACCTCACCTCTGGATTTCTGCTCTTTAGTCCATGTTTGAACGAAGCCTGTAATGAGGTCAGGAACAGGGTAGAACCCAAACTGGGCATCACTGAGCAGGTTATTACTGAGCAGGTGCTGCTTGATAGCACTGTTGATAACACCTTCCATCACTTTACAGATGATTGAGAGTTAAGATTGGGTGGTAATTGGTGGATTGGATTTGTCCTGCTTTGCGTGTACAGAGCATAACTGTGCAATTTTCCATATTGTCATGTTGATGCCAGTGTTGTAACTAACCCTGACAGGTGAAACCACAACTCCTGTTTATTTCAAAGCTCCTACTGGGATGTTGCAAAATATCTTGATGTTCTTAATTTTATATCTACTCCAATGATCACGTTTTTAATTTTACTTGTGCACTTTTCCCTTCCCTCCATGCTCCATCAGCTCAAATCAATACACATTGCATCATGCCTTGTGCAACTCACTTTTTCCCAGCACTGTTTGCAGCTACCTCTCTCAGAATTTCTATCTTCCCACGAACGAGGTGCTTTTAAACAAAGCTGTTTACACAGGATTCCAGATTCATCTCCTGGTCTTTCATCACTCATGGTGCTCTGTATTGATCCTTCATATTGGTTTCTCAAGATAATAAAAATGTTCACTTCAATCTAAATATGAACGATCTTTGCCCTTCTTTTAATTCCTCATTTTAGACAGTATTGTCTATAAATCAATGCCAAACCATTCTGTTGGACCATAACTGAAATAATAAAAATCAACACTGATATAACTTCAATGAAGGGAGATTGTAAAGAAGTGGAATGAATGGTTGTAATATGAAAGCAGGTTGATGAGAAGGTTTTGTTCCTTTTTAAAGAATCTGACAATGCACAGACTGTAAATCCAAAACACAAATAAGCTATCATCAGCACTCTGTCCTTCCCTTCATATTGTAGCTAACTTATGTGTGTTTAATCAGTCATTACACATGAATTCAAATTCATATAGATAATGCTTTGTCCAACTACATTTGGGAAGGTTTGGTTAAAATGTTAAAAATAAGCACATTGCAAACACTGGCATATTTACTTACATGGATTGGGTCCAGGATCTTAACTGCAGCCTTGCTGTCATTTTTTTTGTTTAATACTTTGAAGACTTTGCCATATGTCCCTTTCCCAATGGTTTCAATAATCTCCCATGTATCTGAGGGATCGGGGAAGCTGTCAAAGACGATTGTTTTCCCAGTTAATGGAAACATTCCTAACGATGAACCCCTGGCAAACAATGGAAAAGAAGCAATAAATAAAACACATCAATCATAGGATAACATTCAGAGCCAATAAATAAAATCTTATTTTGTTACAGCAACCTTGGAAAGAATTTCTAAAGATGATGTGACTTATTCCATCCTCTTTCAGGCACTCCTGTGTAATATTTACACAAGTGTTTGCTATGAGCCAGGCTTCACCCAAACAATTTTGTACTCATGGCAAAAGGCAGTTTCCTTAAATCAGCAAAAGCTTCGAGCATAAGAAATTCGTGTCCTTATCAATGTCAAAAATGGAATAGCATGAATTGGCATTATTAATGACCACTAGTTGTAGTATGTAGACAAGGGATGCCCATCACATTCTTCTACCTACTTAAACAGGTCGATCTAAAAGAAAGGCTTGCATTGACATAGTCATTCATGACTCCATGACATTTCAAAGTATTTTATAACTAAGAAAATATTTCTGAAGTACTTTCAAAGGCAAGAAACCAAACTATATATCAGACTTATTTATTTGTGGAATAATACACAGAAACAAGAAAGAAAAAAGCAAGATGCTATAAGGATCCAATAATGAGCTCTCAGTGATACCAGTAATCATTCATCATTGTAAATCATAATAAACAACTTAAGATAGCAAGTCATGTGCTACATTTTCCACAAATGCTTGAAGGAGATAAATTGCAGAGATACAGAGAAAGAGTTGAGATGCGTCTTCAAAAGATCTGGCACAGATTTGAGGGGATGAATGATCATCTACTGGGTTGCTGTGCTACACACTCTGAGCAGCTGAGTTTCAAAGTTCACCCAGAAACAGTAAATAACTAAAAGAACAAAGAGAACAGCAGTTCAACAAAGATTAAACTAACCTTCTTAGAACATTTTCCTTAAGTTTTTAAGTTTCAGGACTCTTATTTGAACAGTCTCTTATGGACCTTAATAAAGAACATCATTCAATGGGGTTAATATGATTTTTTTTTTCCTGAAGAAGGGTCCAGGCCCGAAACATCAGCCTTCCTGCTCCTCTGATGCTGCTTGGCCCGCTGTGTTCATCCAGTTCTACACCTTGTTATCTCAGATTCTCCAGCATCTGCAGTTCCTACTATCTCTGAAACAATTTTAACCCCACTGCGAAGCCTCTTCTAAGGATGCCTAACCTGAAGAAGTTACCCTCCGAAACAACCTCAGTGGATGTCTCTCCCACTGCAACTCTCGCGTAATCTCTTCGGCCTTGAAACTGCTCGACCACGTCCTGAAGCAAACCAGTTACTACAGCCACATCACCTTTCTTAGTACCAGCCTACAGAGCCAGATCATCCCCAATGGACTACAGTCCACATTCAGGCCTTCCCAATTTGGCCCCAACCATGACAATGTCTACACTCAGAACATTGAGATCCTTCAGAGGCATTTCTCCCTGCGACTCCTGAAACACACACTCGCAGCAATGCGCTGGCATCTCCTGGCACTACAATCAAGCCTACCCCAGCTCAGAGTCTCCCTCTCCCAGACCTGCAAAGGACCTCACCTGTTTTTTATTCTTCGTAGGATCCACAACCTGAACTCACAATTCTACTCAGCTTTATTGGAAACTAAAAACCGTAAGTACAGTAAACTTACTGGTGCATACCACCCAAAACAGGCTTCCTCCACCTCCCAAATCCCCAACCCTACCCAGGACCTTCCCCACAATGTGCCTGCTGCCATTGGCCATGTGGCCACTGTCGGAGAACCCAAGGATGACGTCACATCCTCTGCCGCCAGGTACACCACTTCCGGGACAGCGAACACCATCGACACCGCTGCTGATGCCACCGCCTCCATTCCCGAGGCCAACACCATAGACACTGAGGACGCACCTACTGTCACCGCTGCTGCCGCCTCCTACCCTGCTCCACCCAACGCCGATGGCGCTCCGCCCACCGCCGACACTGACGCAAGTCCGCCCACCGCCGACGCAACTCCGCCCACAGCCGACACCACACGGCCTACCACCGACGCCGACGTCGCTCTGCCCACCGCCTCCACAGCCAGCAGCTCCAGAGGAGACGGCAACACTCAGCCCTGCCGAGTCTTCACCATCCCCCCAGACCTCCCTCTTACTGATGACAAACGGTCAGTCCTCAGTAAAGGGCTCATCTTTGTCCCCCTCCACCCACATATCAATGAATACCGGTCACGTTTGGACATTGAGCAGTTTTTCCGCTGCCTCCGCCTCCACGCTTACTTCTTCAACCGTGAGCCTAACCCTCCCTCTACTGACCCTTTCTCCCGCCTCCAACACACCCCCTCCTCCTGGACACCATCCCAAAGCCTCCTATGCTCCCTCGACCTCTTCATCTCCAACTGCCGTTGAGATTATTTTTTTTCTAAAGAAGGGTCTAGGCCCGAAACGTCAGCCTTCCTGCTCCTCTGATGCTGCTTGGCCTGCTGTGTTCATCCAGCTCTACACCTTGTTATCTCAGATTCTCCAGCATCTGCAGTTCCTGCTATCTCTGGGTTAATATGATTCCTGGTTCTTGGGACCCCTACTCAGAATGATTACAAAGCAAAGCAATCTGCCTATTGATTCATGGCTGCTGTATTTTAAGGGGAAAAAGGAATGGCTGAACAAAACTGTATTCATTCCATGAGCCTCTGTAAACCTACTGCTGCCTAGCAACCTTAGACATCATTTCATACAGCTGTGACTTAAGTCTGACATTCTAGCAGACAGCATCATGGAAAACTGTGTGGGAAGAACATGCCTCACAATTACCATTTAAATAAAGAGTCTATCTGATTGAGGTATTCTAGCAGTGGAACATTCAGCTGCCTATGTATTCTGTTCCTGTGTGAATTATTCATGTTGCACTGTATAGATGGTCATTTATCTCATTTTGATATATTCGAGCGCTTCACCTACTAAAGCATTGGCAATTCTTTAGCCTTTCTGTTCTTTCCCTTAGAAATCACACTCTGGAATCTCTGCTGAACTGTCAGATCTGATTTGATCAAGAAATAAGTGTAGCTTGTTACTGATTTTCAAATATATCTCAAGCAGTAGATATAGATTTGCAGTATAAATGTAGAATTGTTGCTTGGATTAGAATTTAAACTGCACTAAATGGAAATTTACCTGTTCATCATAATTATTAAAAATGAAATTGTGCCTGAGTTATTGATCGAAGGCCCACAGCTCAATGAGGCCTCTGTAACAGTCACATTTGAGCATCAGCAGGTATTTTCCATTGCCTTCTAAGCATCCAAGCATTTACAATTAATAGAAATAAATAAGACATATGTAAGAACTTTTCTTAATCTGTCACTACAGCATTTAGTTTCCCAAGTACTTCTTTAAAAGTCTTTACCTTTAGCTAAATTCAGGAGAAAAGTTGTAAGAATACAAAATGCAAGATGAAGACAAAAAGGAATGGTGCATGTATTCTCTTACAGAGCAGATGCTGTTCATTTGACCAAAAAATGCGAGTCCCATTTCCTTTAATTTGTTTTCCTTAAATTTTGTTCACTTTTCTTTTGCAAGATGTTATAGGCTGTACTGAGTTCCCTGGGTTCTCTGAAGGGATGCAGTAGTGTAATGGTAATGTCACTGGTCTAACAACCCAGAGACCTAGGGACATGGGCTTGCAGCTGGTGGAATTTCAATTAAATCAATAAATTTGGAAATTAAAGAAAAACCCTAGTCTTAATTATACTGACTACAAAATCATTGTTAATGAAAGATTCAATAATGCCCTTAGGGAAGGAAATCTACTCTCTTTATCTGGTCTATTTGATGTGTGAATCCAGACACGCAACAATGTGATTGAATCTTAAATGGTCTTGTCAGCCACTTGGTCGTTAAACCACAGCAAAGTCTACTTCCATCTAATTTTAAATCAGGCATTCCACATAATAGCAGCCCTCTCCAAAGAGGAAAATCTCCTATCTTCAGATTTTCCTCTCCAGATCATGATCTTACATTTATATCCCATAGCTTGCTCACATTAATCTAATCTATGGACTTAAGTTATTTCTCTGGTCTTTCCTAAGAACTAATACCTCTCACCCATAGTACATCATCATGGTATTCTCAAACTTCATGCAAAATCCATCTGCCCAATCTGCGAACCTGGGTGGTTTCTTATTAAATACAGTATAGTCCTCATGACTATTAAATCTCAGCTTCTCATCTCTGCATTGTCTAGAAAATTTAATGTTGCCTCTCTTGTAGCTAAAACAAATAGTTTACACACCAACTCTGAAGATACTATTGTGTGTATCCATTCAGACTGAAATACATCTATTGGCCACTAAATTCTGTTTCCTACCCTTTAGCTAACATAATTTCCATACTGTCATATTTCCCATAAGACCAATACGTTTATCAACAGTCCTGCTATTGGCAGTCTATTAAATATCATTGAAAATCTACTTTCATATCCACTTATACTAGATTTCCTTTATCAACAGATTTTATTATTTCTTTGAAGAACTATATTCCATTTGTTCAGACATAATTTGTCTTTTATAAATTTGTATTGCATATCCATAATGTAATCATCACATGAGCCCCAACACTTTACTATCTCATGACACTCTTTACTCCCATTTGTCTCAATATCTGATCACTTCCTTTTATCTCTCAAAACACATGTCCCCCTATCCACTTCCAACCCACATCAATCCATATCAATCCAAACTCACCACTCACTAACCCCTCACACTCCACTCCCCACTACGTCATTTACGATTGCACATTCAAATACCCATCCAAAATATGATCATAAGAAATTGGAGCAGAAGAAGGCTACACCACTCAGTGAACCTGTTCTGGCATTCAGCATAATCACAGCTGAATTTGAGCTTCAACTCCACTTTGCTGCCCACTCCTCGATTTCCTAAGGGAGCCAAAATCTGTCTGTCTATCTCAGTCTTAAACACATGGATCTTAAACACATCCACAACACTCTGAGGAGGAGAAGAATCTCGAAGGTTCACAAACC